AATGTGTATGTGTGTGTGTGTGTGTGTGTGTGTGTGTATACACACATACACACACACACACTCCGTGACAAAAACAGCCTCAAAATGTGAATCAAGAATTTGGGGGAGAGCGACACACTTAATGAATGTGACTAGCTATAAGTAAGTATGCAAAAGAGAATTGGGCCAGTATATTTGAAGAGGCATCATTACATAGTTAGAACTACCCCTCTCTATAAGGGAGATTATATCCAAACAGTGTGAATCAGACTGATGACGAGAGTTATAACCAACCAAGATATTCCTAGTGAACCCAGAGTCAGCAAGGACCCCGCTATTTTAAGCCCAGGACTTACGATTATTTTCTAGATGTGTTTTGTAAATGTCATCTGGCACCTTGGGCTCCATGATATCCAGCTGGAGGCAAAAGAAACAATTATTTTTGATGTCTTCCATATAAAACAAGTCTTCACCTGATTGCTGAATTAATCCACTATCCAGGTTTAAAATATATATGGAATCACAGAATGACCAAACTAGGTGTGGTTCACAGCACTTTTAAGTTACAAAAAAAAAAATCTGAAATCACGAGTAATGCTTTTCAAATATAATATATATTGAACACATTTGTTTACAGGATAAGCACATAGTGGTGAAGTAATAAATAAGCCACAGCCTCATTTAGATGGGGGGGACTGAAAATTCATCTAATTTATCGCCCATGTCCCACTGTCACCCCAAATCAAAGCTTTGATTTGATTTCCATGATGTGAACCCCCCACATTCAGTCCCTCTGAGGAAAATACAACTTTCTTAGTGGACTGTATCTTCCCAGGAGATCACAGCAAATCATTTTAAATCCAGTTTGCAAGAAGGCTTTGGACAGTAACGAAGTCTGCTTACTTTATAATTTTTCTGTTAGTCAATTCTCAAGTAATTGCCCTCCACTTTTCAACCAATGCAATTAGGGAGAACTTGGGGAAACTGGGGAAAAATGAGTTTTGAGGGGCTATCAGTAGCACAGGAGTCTCAAGTTCCCTGCAATGTTGGGTGAATGCCCAAATCAAGGAAAAGATTTACTGAAAACGAAAAAAAAACCCACACAATTTTTTTTCTTTTTTTACTCTCGCTGAACACAGATGCCCTGCTGAGCATTTCTGTTCATTAGAAACGCGAAGCATGTTGGAATTTGAAATGTTATGATCTTGAAATAGCGGTTTCAAAGTTAGACCAGGTTGTTCTGACCTTGCTAGAAATATTTTGAGCTCAACTTTGCTGTTTTACATTCAGAATGCTTCTGGTATCTCGGTAATGTTACCAGAACATTCCAGGTGAGCTCTGAACAACTCTTCCAAGGAGCTGTTTTGAATTCAAAATATTTTGTACCCTGCTGCAAAGAGTGGTCACAAAAAGGGTCAGAATCAAATAACTGATCACCCCACACAAGTATGAAGATTCCATGACTGCAAATTCTGTTTTATCTTTAAATGAAATGTAGAAATAGGGACAGGTATTGGAAATCTCTAGATGCCATTTTTACACTAAATTGTCCAGATAGCATTTTAGTGTCAAGCAAGCAGCCTTTACTGTTAGAAGAGGGGAGAGCAGAGAAATAATATATAAGTAGACCAGCACTATATTTCAAATATTTAAACAACACGCTCAGCATTCCTAACAAAGCAATGCAACACCAGTGTTTAATTCTGATTCCAGTGTAGCCATAATATCTTCAGCACAAGACGTGTTCCATTTCAAAAGTTTTTATTGTTTTTTATTGTTTTTATGTATAGTTTCTGAGCACTTGATCCCAAAAACTAGACAACAACATACTCAACTTTATTATGTCTCACAGTTTAAATGCAAAACGTCTTTTCTGGCTTACAATGAAATATGTAGAATGTATTTAGAATTAAACTCCTTAAGCTTCAGTCTATCCAGACAACTTGAGTGAAACCTATTTAGCTGTGTGGTTTGTATCATGTGCAAGTGTTAATCTCGATACTCCTTTTTACAATTTGCTAAATCTATCCAGATTCTAATTAGATTTGCATACCACTGCATCATTCAATATCCTGATGGTTGAAAACAAGATAGATTCTACTAAGATATCCAGGTTAAAAAAAAACACAAAAAGAACCCACAGCAAAACTGATAATACGTTGAAAAACCTCCCATGCCTGAAAATGAATTAAAACTCATCCTTGCATCGAATTAAAAGCAGTGAAAACCTCTGTGCAAATGTTCAATCTGGCTTAAATTTGGGGGATATTGCAGGCAATTCTTGTTTAGCAACTGCAATTGGGACAGCACACGTGGCTGTTAAGCAAAGTAGACGCCAAGTGAAAGAAAAACTGTGCTTGTGATCTTATTTTAGCTTTCCTTTGCATTACAGACCTGCATAAAAGTGAGGACTTGGTCATAAAATTACTCTTTAACTACCATTTTAACTGTTAACCGTTGCTAAACGAAGCTAAACACTAAACACTGACACTAAACAAGGTCGATCTGAATTATTCCTTAACATTTGACCTTCTTTTCAAAAACGAGACCACTGTAGGAAAACAAATCTATCAGAAAATAAACTGACAGTATCAGCAGGCTGCATTCTCAGCTTGTTTGCTACAGCAGATGGCACTAAGAGGCAAAATACTGCTTTGACATGGGGATAAAGGAGGCATTTCTTAAAATTAAGCCAGATCGCTTCTAAAAGCTTTCCCGGGAATTTTTACTGTCATTCAGTCAACATTTATCTCTTGCCTTGCTCTAAATGGACCTTTTGCAGGTCATTTTCACACTTCCCCTTATTAAAGATTCAAAATCCTACCAGGAAAAAAGAACAACCTTGTGATATCTATGGAGATTCTCAGTCATCTAGGTCAGTGGTCCCCAACCTTTCTTCTGCCACGGCCCAGTACCGGCATCACAAAATGATCCGCGGCCCGGTACTGGCATCAGCATGCATGACAAGGCAAGGCGAGCCGAGCGACTGGCCAGCCAGCCGTCCCCCGCTTCTCCCCGCCAGCTTCAACTCCTCCTTTGTACCTTTGTCGCTGGGCTTTGCTTCGGGACGGCTTCAGGACGGTCGCTCGGCTCGCCTTGCCTTGGGTGCTGAAAGAATCCTTGTGCCTTAGTTTCGTTCGAAGCCCCCCCCTTCAATGAAACTAAGGCGCGAGGATTCCTTCAGGACCCAAATGCCACTTTCCAACCAGAAAAGCTCACCCGGAAGCACTTTCTCGTCAAACAAGATGGCGGCGCCCAGCAAACCGGCGGCCCGGTAGGAAATGTTCCACGGACCGGTACCCGTCCGCGGCCTGGTGGCTGGGGACCCCTGATCTAGGTCATGGTTGTCCCAAAAGCACCTTTGGGACAACCTTGTGATAGTGCAAGAGAACTTACTTCCCTGGCCAAGGCCAGAAAATTACTGTTGAGCTGGACGTTAGACATGATCTCCGTAAGATCCTCATATTCTTCAACATCCTCACTTAGCTCCAGAAAGACGCCGTGGCGGCCCAGCATGAAGGCCATTTGCTTCTGAACCACTCTGCAAACAAACAAGCAAAAATGTCAGCAAACCAAAAAAAAAAAATTAGCTAGAGTGGACTGTAGGATGATGAAGTCAAACTGTCATTTATTAAATTCAGCAATATCTTGTTGGTGGCCTTAATTGTTTTTTCCTTAGGAGCCAGTGCTTTGCAGGAGTAACAGCATCCCCCAGAGGGATGGATAGGGTTCAGCCTTCCAGGGTTTCCAAAATAGTGATAGTACACTTATATGCCACTTTACAGTGCATTACAACCCTCTCTAAGCAGTTTACAGTCATGGCTGCTGCTCCAGGCCTGGAGGCGAGATGGATGCTGAGTCTTCATTAATTTTGGCTAGTTTAGGGCAGGTTTGGTGGTATTAATCTTCTAAGTGCACGTTTAAAAATAATAATAATAATAATTCCTGACTTCCAGTTTAAAGGGCTTCGGTGACAGACTGAAATCCGCAATCGTGCGCGGTTTCTGTCTGGGCTCACCGCTGGAGTGCCCCAAGCCGGCTGGTTTCGGGGCTAAGCCACCCCGTAGAGGTGGTGAAGAGGGGGGAGACCGTCAGCAGGGTTGAGGAGAACCGCATCTTTCCTCCTCAGCTGGCCATTACTCCCTTTCCCGAAGGCGGTTGCAGTGGTGGTCAGAAATGGCCACCACAAAGAAGAACTCAGCCGGAAAAGAATGTGCAGGAGGAAGATAAGAAGTGAAAGTTTTGGCTGACCTGGTTAAACTATAAAAGCAACAACTAAGGTACCCTGGAATTTAAACTTACAAAAAATAACATTGCTCCCAAAGAAGAGTCGGAAGCAGCGAAGGAAAGTGAAAAGGGAAAAGGTTGGCTTTTTTTTTTCTTCTCTCTCCTTCCCTATACTGCCAACTAAGAGACTTAAATAAGAAATCAGAAAAATCCGCTTTGACATCAATAGGCAATTAAGCTGAAAATAAAACAAAATGCCAAAGGGATAATAAAGATTTCTGGACATTAAAATTTTTCTTTTTCATAAGCAGGAAGGGAGAGAAAAAGAATAAGGGCAGGATCTGGAAGAGGGAGGAGACTGCCTGGAATTAAAAAGAATCTACAGTAAAACTTCAACAAGACTTCTAAAAGATACATTTTAACTGAAACTTTGCAACTAAATAGTAACCTCAGGAAGAGAAAGTGAAAAAAAAGAGCAAAAAAGAAAGAGCTCGCGTATATTTGGATTATTTGGTGATCTTTGGATTTTTGGTTATTATATTTGAATGACTAAAATCAATCGGGTGGTTGTTTAAAAATTTATACAATGGCACCATTTCTGGATGAATTGAAAATGGAACTTAAAAAGTACAAAGAAGATGCACAAGAAGGGAAGGGTTCTTTTGGCTTCATTTTTCAATTCTTAGAAATGGAGATTTGGAACTATGAGAAAGAACAAGAAAAGACTGCAAAACCAGAAGACTAGGACAAAGAAGAAGCCATCTTTAATGAAGAAGTAATTTTATGTGGGGAAGAAAAAGGAAAGGGGGGAAAGAGGATGGAGAATTTAGCACTTAAAAAAAAAACAACCAAAGAAAAGAAACATAATTTGAAAAATAAGTATAATACTGGAAAGCAACAGAAAAGGGGAATACAGAAGAGAGAAATAGAGGTAGAGAGACAAGGGGGTAAAAAAGGGAGAGAGAAGAAGAGAGGGAAGAAGGAAAGGAAAAGAAGTTACAAAGGACCGGAGCAAGATATAGAGAAACAGGACCTATTTAGAGATAATGGGTGAAAATGTAACTGAAAAAGGGATTTTGTAAAGGTACATAAGATTATATTGTTATATTAATAATAGAAATAACTTTAGAAAACTGGAAACAACGTATGATTAAAATGAGGGATAAAATAGTTAGTGTAATTTAGTGAAATGTTTGTGAATAAAATAAGTAAAATAAAATAAATGAGAAAATTGAATTAGGAAGGAACGGGAACATTTTAATTAGTTAATGTTTTAGAAAATATAAGTGAAGGGGGGGGAATTAACTACAGAAAGCCTATAATTGTTCCCATAGAAGTATAATATTTAATTGAAAAGTAATGTTAAAGATGTTAAGACTTTAATGAATATTTAATTAATGATAGAATTGAATTGGAATGTAATGTTGTTTTAATTATATACATTTATATTTCTTTTTCTTTTTTTAAGAATACAGTGTGTATTTTAAGAATGTACCAAGCAGAATCCGAATGGAAGTTATATATTATATTGAATGTTACAACTTTAGGGAAAAGATATAAAGGCGTTATACTCCAATCAGTAACTACAGGAGAAATCTTGTTTAATGAGAAAAGATAATAGATAATTGAAACAGGACAGACAAAAAATATAAATACAATGATGTGAATTGAGATGAGATAATTGAAATAAAATTGAGAAAATTAAAAGAGGGGAGAAGCTATGCAGAAAATGTAAAATAGTAATAAGATACGGAATAGAATATAAAAATGAGCATGAACCTGAATTTGTGTCTGTACGAAGAAATGTAACCCGGGATTATGCTGCTTTCAAAAAAGATGTTTTATTTGTATTTTTTTTCTCTTTGTGAAAACTCAAATAAAATTTACAAAATAATAATAATTATTATTATTATTATTACTATTATTATTATTCCAGAGTTTGTTAAGTCCTCAGTCTTTCAGCAGTCAAGGTTGCAAAAGGGGGAAAAACTTACTTAACAACTGTCTAGCTTAGAAAAAGAAAAATTTGACTCAGTTGTGGTTGTAAGCTGAGGACTACCTGGTTCTCCCCTTCCTGATGCATGATGTGGTCTCAGAATTACAGAGTTGGAAGGGACCTTGGAGGTCTTCTTGTCCAACTCCTTCCTGAAAACAGGAAATCCTATACCATTTCAGACAAATGGTTGTCCAATCTCTTCTTCAAAACCTCCAGTGGTGGAGCACCTACAACTTCTGAAGGCAACTGATTGTTGTGTCAGGAAATTGCTCCTTCGTTCTAGGTTGCTTTTCTCCTTGATTAGTTTCCATCCATTGCTTCTTCTCCTGCCTCGAGGGCTTTGGAGAATAGGTTGACCCCCTCTTCTTTGTGGCAGCCCCTCAAGTATTGGAAGACTTATCATGTCATGTCACACACCCCCAGTCCCTCTTTTCATTAAACTAGACATATCCAGTTCCTGCAAGTGTTTTATCCTCCAGACCTCTAATCATCTTTGTTGCTCTTCCGTGCACTCTTCTAGAATCTCTGCATCCATCTATCTATCTATCTATCTATCTATCTATCTATCTATCTATCTATCTATCTATCTATCTATATGAATGAAATAAAAAGGGTCTTTGGGCAAGGTTCTAGACTTAGCAATTCTCAGTTCTCCTAGCCCTGAATCCCGTGGATCTGTCCACAGCACCCCAATTCTAGGGAGCTCTACTTACACATCTTTGCAGGAAATGAAGATGTTTTCGGCCAGTTCCATGTCATTCAGCATGAGGGCCAAACGGAGGGCTTCAGGGTAGCGATTGAACTTGCGGAAGATGCTAAGGGCACAACGAAGAAGGGCAGAATTCTCTGGCTCGGGGACATAGCTCACACAGCTTGAAAAATAAGAAAGGGAGAGGCAGAAAACGAAGTTTGGTTAGCACTACGGCTATTAGCCAACTGTTCCTTTTTTCACAAATGTTACATGGTCCTTTGGGTTAGGTCCCCAAACTTTGATGTGGGCCTCAGTCCCTGCTCTCAAATTAAAATTTTCAATATGCGATGGGGGAAATCATTAAACTCATCATAAATATCCTGTAGTTGGGCTGGAAGAGAAAAAAATCACCATGAAACATATTGAAGCAAACGGGAGCTACAATTTGTTATGACACCACCATGGAAGAGTTAAAGTGGACAGAAATCCTACCGAAGAGCAAATATAGAAGTTACCTAAATTGGGAATCAGTTCCTTTAAGAGTGAGGAGGGAAGAGAATACATTTTTTTAAATGATGTGCTGATTGATAATCTTTAGAATTATGGCTAATTATACCTTTCTTATCAGATTCAGGTGAATTTCAGCACAAAACAAACATTTTTTGCATGTATAAATGAATGCAAGCCTGTCACAATCAATGAGGATTTGGGCTCTGAATACCTTAGATCAAGGATTCCCAATTTTGGCAATTTTAAGATGCATGGACTTCAAGTCCCAGAATTCCCTAGCCAGTTCTGGGATTTGAAGTCCATGCATCTTAAAAGTTGCCAAAATTGGGATACACTGCCCTACATTTAATGTCCTGCATTTCTTTGCAACAATTCTTTATCATATTGGACTGCCTCAGTAGAATGGCAGTTTCTTATTCTATTATTTCTAAAGGAAATGATAGTTCCACTTTGAGTGCTCCATGCTTAAATTAGGTTCAAAGGCTAAGAGAGAAAAAGGTTCGTTGGGATTTTAGAAGAATAAGATAGGAAGGAACTAGAAACATATAGTTTTGAGGAGAGGCGGACAGCATTCTTGGGGAATCTGAAAAGATATCACACAGAAGAAGATTAAGATCTGTTCTGCATTGTTTCAGAGTGCAGAAAAAAAATAAAACAAAGGATCTGAGCGATAGGAATATAATTTCCAATTAAGTCTTAAGGGGGGGAAAAAAAAAAAACCTTTGGTATTTGAACCGTGGAACCAGTTATGGGAGAAAAATTAGGTTTGGATAGCCGCTGACCACGAATGTTTTAATATGGATCTCTGTGTTCAAAGAATTGGTCTCCACGGCCCAATTCAGCCTTGCCAACTCTTATGAATTGAACTCCACGAACCCCAGAAAGTACAGTTACCTTACCTGGTCAGGTAGAGACAAACTTTGGCATAGGCATTGTCGTCAATATATTCCTCCAGCATATCCATCTGCTCAATTTCCATCAGCAAATCACAGGCCTCGTGCTCAGCATTATGGGCCATGTTGTAGGGCACAATCTCCTTTACCAGAGTTAGAAGTGTGTCCTTCTGGGTCTTGTCTGCCTCGTCAATTTCCTGCCACTCCTTGGCGACTTCGCCTGCTAGATGCCTGCAGGGGCAACGGAAGGAAAATAGCCATGGTTTTAAAATAAAAAAACAAGACAAACTCCCTATTCAGTAAGTCATTTTGGGGGGTGGGGGGTTTTTCCAGCAAATTTATACCTTGTTTTTTCAGCCCATAAAATTAGAGGGGTACCTTTACTGAACTTAAATCTTCCCATGTTCTTTATTGTAAGGAATACTTCAAATAAGCGTTGAGAGTTAAGAGTTTACTTTACTGATTAGCCCTTGGGCCATATCAAAGTGCAGAGTTCCAGACACAAATTATTACTAAAATCTGATAAAAACAATTTAAAATGGAATTGGATAAAATTCAATTTAAAATGAAATTGGAATAAAATAACGGTTTAAAATGAAATTGGAATAAAACAACGGTTTAAAATGAAATTGGAATGAAATACAATAATTTAATATAAAAATAAAATATGATAAAATTATATTTTGGTGTCACGCCTGCAATCTACCCCAATCAGTCCCGCGCAGGCCAATCACAACCGAACTATTTTGCTTAATTACTGTGCTGGGTTGAATGTTATTTTCAGATTCTGGCCGCCCATAAGGTAGGTTGTTTAGATATGGGGATCCCAGTGGGTCACTTGTCCGGTATATAGCAAATAAAGAGATTATCTGTCAAGAGACATCAGCAGCCTTGGGTTGCTTGGCAAGAGACTGTACCGAAGAAGCAACTGCTATGAACAGAGCTCAGGCAGTGCTGACTAGGGCACCACCCGAGAGCCTCCTGTTTGCTGTGTTCGGCTCTGCAGATGGGAGGCGATGTTTTAACAATGAAAAAGAACTATGTAGTTCAAAAGAACTGCACAGGTAGTCCTCGACTTACAACAGTTCGCTTAGCGACCGTTTGAAGTTACAGCAGCACTGAAAAAAAGTGACTTAGAACTGTTTTTCACACCTGTGACCGTTGAAGCATCCCCGTGGTCACGTGATTTACATTTTGGATGCTTGACAACCGATTCACGTTTATGACTGATGCAGTGTCCCGGGGTCATGTGATCCCCTTCTGCGACCTTCTGATAAGCCAAGTCCATGGGGAAGCCAGATATCCCTTAACATCCATGTTACTAAAAGTCTACGGAGATTCTCAGTCATTCCAGGTCATGGTTGTCCCAAAGGTGTTTTTCCACCCCACCCGCCCAAGAGGCAACTGGACTTTCTTGTTTTTCGTTTGAAGACATTTCACTTCTCACCCAAGTAGCTTCTTCAGCTCTGACTGAATGGTGGGGAGGAGAAGGATTTATACTCCTTGCAGACAACTGGTCATTTGCAAGGCCTATAAATCTGCAAGGCCTATAAATCTGCAAGGCCTATAAATCTGCAAGGAATATATATCTGCAAGGCATATAAATCTGCAAAGAATATAAATCCTCCCATTCCCCACCATCCAGTCAGAGCTGAAGAAACTTCTTGGATAGGAAGCGAAACGTCTTCAAAGAAAAACCAGAAAGTCCAGTTGCCTCTTGGAGGAAAAAAAAAAAAAGCAACTTTGGGGCATCTGTGTTACTAATTTAACAACTGCAGTGATTTACCGAACAAATGTGGCAAGAAAAGTGTTCAAATGGGGCAAGACTCACTTAACAAATTTCTCAATTAACCACCTTCATTTTGGGCTCAATTTTGGTCATAAGTGGAGGACTCCCTGTATGACTGATTTCTAGCTCGTCAGACATCTTAGCTTGCTCCTTACCTGACGTACTCATGTCCCCACGAAGCTAAGGGTTCCTGAGATCCCACCAACCGATATTTCAGGCACTCTCGCTCTCCGCTCATTGTCATGGCCAGAACAGATATAATGTCAGCAGCAAAACGCTGTAAGGAGAAAGAGACGTTGAGACTGTATCGAGCAATACCTCTGGCTAAAACTTCTTGAAGCAGGAAGATGGCGACACCTCCCTGTGTTATACTTTGTAGCCTGCCTGAATAAGTAACAACGCTCTATTTATTTTATTTTATTTTATTTTAGGGAATTTGTACTGCCGCCTATTCACCCATGGTGACTCAAGGCGGCTTAACGGGAATATAAACCTCACATAGAAAACAATAAAACTAATAAAGGAATCTCCAGATCGTCCTAGATTTACAAACATTCGTTTAGTGACCGATCAAAGCTGCAAAGGCACTGAAAAAGGGACTTGGGACTGGTTTTTACACTGATGGCTGTTGCAGCATCTCCATGGTCACGTGATCAAAATCCGGGTGTTTGGCAACCGGCATGTATTTCTGGCAGCTGCACGGTCCCAGGATTGTGGGATCACTGTTCGTAATCTTACCAGCTGGCCTCTGACCAGCAAAATCAATGGTGGAAGCCAGATTCACTTAATGACATGACAACTGCCATGATTCGTTTAATCACTGTGGAACGGAAGGTCGTAAAATGGGACAAAGCAATGCAAATGTCAGGCTCCATTTTGGTCATAAGACCACCTGTACACAGTAATAAGACCTTCTCTCCTAACAGAAAAGCCACTGGCTTTTTAAAGCTAAAAAAAAAAAACGCTCTCCACTTCTTCCGGCGCTCCCTTTTCAAAGGAATGAGCAACATATTCGCTCTCCTTATAAGTCCTCTTATAACCCAACTATAATAGGAAGCTTTTAAGTCACATGGAAGGAGCCCCCTTGGGTTCCATCTCATCTGCCACCCGTTTTTATTTTCTTCCTAGCAAGGGCACGGCCTGCTTTTTTTCAGCTCAAGGGGAGTGTTGATCCTCTGATTGTGAAAGGACTGGAACCACCAGCTTGTCACCCGAGCTCGATAGGGGCTTGGGAGGAGAGAGAGTGATGGGACTAGTCACCCCACTGGCTTTAATTGCCTAAGGTGGGACTAGAACTCACAGTCTCCCAGGTACCAGCCTGTAGCCAAAGTGACTCTCACTTGTCACCCATTTTACGTTCTGCTGGTTTATTTATGTATATAGAAATTTTATATTGCTGCCTACTCACACATGGTGCCTCAAGGCGGCTCACAAGGACATAAAAACACAATATGAAGAAATAAAAAAAAAATTTAAAAGAAAAATAATTGAATAACAACCTCCCACAACCTCACACCCCGGCAACAACACACATTCATACTAGGCATTTAACGGGCTGCATCCCACTCTGGGTTCCGCTGGCCCGCTGAACCTCTTCAGGGCCTTCTGAAAGAGTGTTGAGTGGGGGCCAGTCTAATTTCTGGGGGAAGATGTTCCAATGAGAGGGAGCCACCACGGAGAAGGCCCTTCTTCTAGGTCCCACCAGGTGTATCTCCCTCGGGGGGGATGAGACCCGCAACATTCCCTGCCTCCCTGCTCTAATGGGTCGGGGAGATGTGAATGGCAAAGAGACGGTCCCTCGGATAACCTGGTCCCAAGCCAGGAAGGGCTTTAAAGGTGACAACCAGCATCTTGAATATCACCCAGAAGCAAATTGGCAACCAATGCTTGTTCCCGCAGGAGAGGTGACACGTGCGCACACCGAGGTCTGCACAAAACCATTTCGGAGATCATGTGAAGGTCTACAGTGAATAGATTGATCCTTGAAGCAAAGAAAGTAAATCGGTATTTAGATTTTTGACAACCGGGAACCAATTTGCTAGCTAGCTAGCTATTAGAAAGGACAAAAACAAAAAAAAAGTGAAATGGTAAAATAGCACCAACACTTCTTCAAATCAATCCAGGCTGGATACCTTGTTTTCCCCTGCGGCCATGTTTTCGTAGATCTCTTTCAATTTGCCGTAATGTGGCCGCAGAAACTTCAAGGGCTTGGGTACAGAAGTCATGGAGGTTGTGGAAGAGCGTATCTGCCTGCGAAGTTCCTCCAGGGCAGGGCGATAAAGAGCCGTGTCTTGCTCCTGCAATCAGATCGGTTGTTATTAGGAAGCAAACACAAATTGACCTGCCAATCCCTCCCTGCAGAATTGCTGCTCCGGTTAAATATGGCCAGCATGAACCAACTCATACCTTTGCTATGGGACCTGCGCTAAGAGAAATATTTACTAGAAACAGGCATAGCTGTTTTAAGAAGAGTCCTGAGGGATCAGGCAACTGTTCCATTTAGTCCACCATTTTTGGTCACACGATGATATTTTTATGATATCCCTATTTGGGTAGAGTCAAGGCAATTGGATGGAGCTGAGCATTTACTGACCAGATGCCCTTCCTGACACCTATGCTGTGTTAGCAACAGATGGTTGTTTTTTTCTTTGAGCCCTAGGAAAGAAACATTCGCTGCTACTAGGATTGAACTCTCAACATCCAAAGTGGGAAGGGAGGGTCTTGACCACTAGGCCACCATGCTGTTCTTGGTCACACAATAGTCAGTCAAAAATAACCAAGAACCTCACAAATGTTAGAAATATGCTGAGAGCTTTCTTCCACGTTATTCTCTTCACTGTCAAATAGGAAGGTATCTAGCATATGATAATTGTCCCATTTTATTTTGTCCTGCTTTGGAGATTTGAAACAAAAATTTTTTGAGACAAATGAAGTTTTAGATTGATGGCCAGTATGAACCAATCAAAACATCTGCTTTACAAAGTAATAAAAGTGGGGCCAGTCATCATAGGTGCTTCAACTTACAATCATCATGACTTACAATGAAAATTCTGGGGTCCATTACATTCACAAGACAAGGACTATCTGTACCCTCTTGACAGTTTTACTTAAAAAAACATTGTTATAAACAGCAAGTCAACACTCGTAAATAGTGAGAATTAATTTTATTATGAGAATAGGGTAGAACCAACAACATGCATGCTACTGTTATCAGAAAGAATATACAGTCACTAAACAAAGTCCTAAACTTTCTTTAGTGACTGTTTAAAATTACAACTGCACTGAAAAAAATGACTTTATGACCATTTTTTCACACTTACAACCATTGCAACAACCCCATGATCACATGATCAAAATTCAGAGGCTTGACAACTGATTCATATTTATGACAGTTGCAGCGCCCTGGGGTCATGTGACCACCTTTTGAGACCTTCCCACAAGCAAATTCAATGAAGAAGCCAGATTCCCTTAACAACTCTGTTACTAATTTTACAACTGCAGTGATTCATTTAGCAGAGTGGTGCGGTGGCCTAGAGGTGGAGCTCTTGCCTTACAATCAGGAGGCTGTGAATTTGATGCTAGATAAAGGCAGATGTTTCTCTCTCTGGGCACAATGAGAATGTATCTGAACAAAACTCCACTTTGGCAACAGGAAGGGCATCCGGCCACTAAACACTCAGCTCCATCCACCCCACAAGGGATTGTGGGGCTGTTAAAAGAAAGTGATTCATTTAACAATGTAAGAAGAAAGGTCATAAAATGGGGCAGAATTCACTCAATAAATATCTTACTTAGCCACAAAAATTTTGGGCTAAATTGTGGCTGTAAATCAGCAACTACCTGTATTATACATAGCATTGTCAATATAGTACAGGCTGTGCTTTATTACTGTATGAAACTCTATATTTCCTGAATATAGTAAAATAGTACGTTCTGATATCCCACAAATTTACAGTAAAAAAGAGAACTTACTCCCAAGCGTTCCACAAGCATTTCCAGCTCATCTTGTAGTTGTTTGTCTTCTTCAGACTGTAAGGAATGAAAGAAAAAATGTAAAAATCCAGGCCTCTCGGAAAGCCTAAATTTTTCAATTATTCTGAACTGTAACTGAACTGATGGATGAAACAGGAATACAAAGCAATTCAACAGCAAGGTGACGATGGCACCATAACTTACATTTAATCATAAATATTTGTAAATGAAAATAGAAATATGAAATTCAAGCAGTGAGAGAATGGAGCCAACTGAGAAAAATAAAAAACTACAGGCTTAACATCACAAATGCCACCATTACTTTCAATTACAGGCAGATCTAGCAAATAAGCCAAACCACAAAAGCACTCAGAAGCATCCCAACTGCCCCTTATTGTTATTCTAATCTCCCATAAGCCACCACCACATTTTAAATGCATTCAGTTTTGGTCACTGCAATATAAAAAGGATGTTGAGACTGTACAAAGATTGCAGAGAAAAGCAACAAAGATGATTATGGGACTGGAGGCTAAAACATATGAAGAACTGTTGCAGGAATTGGGTATGTCTAGTTTAATGATAAGAAGGACTAGAGAGGACATGATAGCAGTCTTCCAATATCTCAAGGGCTGCCACAAAGAAGAGGGAGTCAAGCTATTCTCCAAAGCATCTGAAGGCAGAACATGGAACAATGGATGGAAACTAATCAAGGAGAGAACCAACCTAGAACTAAGGAGTTTTCTGACAGTGAGAACAATTAACCAGTGGAACAAACTTGCCTCTAGAAGTTGCGGGTGCTCCAACACTGGAGGCTTTTAAGAAGAGTCTGGACAACCGTTTGTTTGGAATGGTATAGGATTTTCTGCCAGAGCAGGGGGTTGGACTAGAAGACCTCCACGGTCCCTTCTGATGCTGTTATTCTGCTGACCTCAGTAACAGGTTTTTAATGGCAAGGTCTCCGTTTAACTCTCCAGGGTGGCAATTCTGGGCAAACCACTGAAGATTTGGAAATGCGCCGGTCACCAAAGAGGGCCTTAGAATCTAAGGCTTAGAATAACTTTTGTCATTTTAAGTGTACACTAATCGGCATACATTCAAATGAAATTTCGTTGCGTACAGCTCTCAAAGGGTCCCCGCCTCCAATATGCACTATATAAACATCACAATAAATAGGGGGTGGATGTGCTCACTGATCCCGCGAAGAGGCCCGCCAGAACAGCTGTTGCTAAAGATGCAGCCTTGCAACTACCGCTTTCCGGGCGAAGAAGAAAACGAGATCCTTTATTTATTTATCTACCAGTAGTCCTCAACTTACAACAGCTCGTTTAGGGACCATTCAAAAGTTCCATCACTGCGAGAAGTGACTTCTGACCCTTTTTCACCCTTACGACCGTTTGCAGCATCCCCACGATCATGGGATCCAAAATCAGACTCTTGGCAACGGACTATTGAAGACGGTTGCAGCGTGGGAGGGTGTCACGCCCTTCTGAGACCTTCCGACAAGCCAAGTCAATGGGGAAGCCGGATTCGCTTTAACAAACGTGGGACTCACTTAAAGACGGCAGCGATTCCCCGTAACAACTGTGGCAAGCAAGGTCGTAACAGGGGGCCAAACTCCACCACACACACACACACATACACACACACACGTAACCAATGTTTCCCTTGGCAACACAAATGTTGGTGGCCAGTGTGGTCGTAAGTCGAGGACTACCTGCATGCCGCCGATTATCCTTTAATAGCTACCTCAAGGCGGCAAATATGCACAAGGCTCCTGTTTTCACCGTAACAACAACCCTGTGAGGTGGGCTGGGCCCAGTGTCGGCGAAGCGGCCCAAAGTTCTAACCCAAGTGGCTTCACACCCGGTTCAGATCCCGGGAGACATTCTGCACATGCTCAGATGCACTCGAGTTTCTCTACCAGCCCCGGCCGAGCGGGAAGGCGAGGGAGGAAGAAGGATCGTAAGATCTCCAGCCCGGGCTGCGGATGAGGGGCCGGAGAAGCGCCGACTTAAGGCGCGTTTTCCCGGCCCCGGGCCTTGGCCGTGACTCAGCGCGGCTATTTGCGGCTCCCTCGCCGGCCTCTCACCAGCTCCTGCTCCTTGTCCGCCGCGGGGGCGTTAGGGTCCTTCTTGTCTTTGCTCCAGGGCCCCGTCAGTTTGTCGTCACCGGAGCCGGGCGTCGAGCCCCCGGCCTGAGACCGCCTTTGACAACCGCCGCCGCCTCCGTCCTCCATCACAAGCCGCTTCCTCTCGGGGGCCGACGGAGGCACTGCGCATGCGCCGGTGCCGTAATGGGGGAGGAGCCTTAGCCCGCCAATCAGCACCTCAGGAGATGGAAGGGAGGGCGCGAGCGCCGGCGGACGGAGGGCGGTGTTGAGGGACGTGGGCGGGGCAAGGGAGTAAGGGTGGAGCCAAGCTCGGAGAGGGGGCGGGGCGAGGCGAGGCCGTCGGACCACGTGCAGGTCGATCAGAATCTGCAGGCGGGGAGTCTGATTTCTTGGCCGCCGTTTCCAGGTT